CGCCATCTTCTGTAAGCAGCAAGTCCTCAAGACAAGAGAGTACACAGGGTCAGGAAATGGAATAGGAATATGTGACCTTGGGAGATGGGGAACTGGGGGTAGGTACTAGTAAGTCCCAGATGCCAAGGAACCTAGAGGCTCCCAGGACCCAGTAGGCAAGTCCTTATTCAAAATACCCAACAAAGGGGAGATAGAACCAGTAGAGACCACCTCCAGTAGATAGGCACAGCTCCCACTTGAGAGATGGTACCACCTACCTATCTCAAAATTGTTAACCCAAAAATGTTCCTGTCCAAAGAAAAAACAGGGTCAAAAAATGGAACAGAGACTGAAAGAAAGGCTGTCTAGAGAACACCCCACCTAAGGATCCACCCCATCTGCAGACACCAAACCCTAATGTCAAGAAGCACTTGCTGACAGGAGCCTGGTATGGCTGTTCGCTGAGAGGTTCTACCAGAACCTAGCTAATACAGATGCAAATACTCACACCCAACCATCAGACTGAGCATAGGGACCTCAATGGAAGGGGTAGGGTAAGGACTGAAGGAACTGGAAAGGGGATTGTAACCCCATAGGAAGAACAGTATCCACTAACCGTACCACTCGGAGCTCTGAGACTAAACCTTTAACCAAAGAGTATACATGGAGGGATCCATGGCTTCAGATACATATGTAGCAGAGGATGGCCTTATCTGACATCAATGGGACGGAGGCCCTTGGTCCTGTGGAGGCTTGATGCCCAGTGTAGGGTGATGCTAGAGCGGTGAGGCAGGAGTGGGTGAGTAGGTGGAGGACCACCCTCATAGAAGCAAAGGATAGGGAGGAGAGTGGAGATGAGATGGGAGGTTTGTGGAGAAGTAACCGGGAAGGGAAATATCATTTGAAATGTAAATGAATAAAATTATTAATAATAAATTAATATATAAAGCATAGTTTTACCAAATTAAAGAAAAAAAAAGAGGAGGGATTGGAACACCAACCCAGACAGAAAGTATTTGACCCACAGCTTGCCCTGCCTATGGAGTGTTCTGGGACCAGAGCCAAGGAGAATTATCGTCAAAATGACTAGATGGACTATTTTCAGCAACTAATGAGAGCAGATGCAGAGTTCCACAGCTAAATATTAGGCGAGCTAGGACAGTCCAACTGAGAAGTCAGGGGTTGGGTGGTTCCTAGGAATCAGACTGGTCAGGGACACCATGAGAACAAGGGTTACAGATTCAATTGTTTGAGACTTATGGGACTGACAGAAGTCAAGGAGTCTGTATGGATCTGACCTAGGTTCTGCATATATGTTATTGTTGAATACTTGGTGTTCTTGTGGGAAGCTTACCAGTGGGAGAAAGAGGAAAGAATCTGTTCTATTTCACTTTCCCAGGGAGATCCTTACATTCTGACTTTAGCCCTTATTGTTACTTAGACTCTCTTGGTTTATGGATTATAGTATGATTATCTTTCACTTTACACTTTTGAGTACATGTCATGTTTGCTTTACTGGGCCTGGATTACCTCACTCAGAATGAGTTTTTCCTAGTTCCATTCAACAGGCTATCCCTGAGTCCTTAGTCTACTTGTAGGATTATTCTTCTACAGAGTTTCCTTGTCCAGTGTTGATGTGGTAGAATGTATTTGATCTTATTATAGCTTATTATTCAGTGCTTGGTTGATGTCCCTGAGAGGCCAGCAATTTCTGAGGGATGTGAGGGTGGGATTTAGAAGTTGGAGGTGGTGGGTAAGGAGGTAAGGAAGTACAGGATGAGAGTGGGATGGGGTGGATGATGGATCTGAGCCACAGAGGAATTGGTGGGGAGAGACTGGGAGGAGGAAAGGGAGGGAAAACTGAAGTCAGATGTAATATCTAAGAGAAGAATTTAAAAAAAACCAGAATGAATGGCACCAAAGTCAATATTTGAAGGTTTCTTTCTGAGGCTTCAATGGTTAACTTGTTTCCCATTACCATGGACATGATGCAACTATTAGTTTCTAGATTGGACATGTGTACATTATTAGTGTGTATATACTCAGAGGGTCAAGGGAACCCCAGCCTAGACCAAATTCATCATAGCACAGAAAGAGAATTTTCTCCTAGGGAAAATTATTATAAATAAGTATGTTAGTAAGATAACTCTCCAGGAAAATGAGGAGACTAGAGGTATATTTTCTTGAAGAAATAAATTTATGCAAAAAATAATTGCATATTGTTAAAGTATTTTGATGAGCCTTTAAGAAAGTGTGTGTTCCAGAACATGGCATTTAGGAGTGGGGGTCATGAAGACAGTTGTCTGAGTAAAATGAACCAAATGGAGCATTGTGGTGACAGGTTTTAATCACACTTTATTTCAAAGAAGATATTAATTGTACATAGGAGGAGATTGCACTATGTTCTTTTATATCTGTGTATAGTGAACTTGTGTCATATTTATCCTTCACTTCCTCATCTATTTCTCCATTTTCTGCTCTACTGTTCTTCTCAGTATTTCATATTCTACAACCTTTTCAAACAGTAATGATTCACGAATAATTGCAGAGTCACCATATTAGAAGCAATAAACAGCAGCTTGAATCTATAAACAATACTTTGTTCTGTGAGATCCAGTGGAATCCTAACACATTTTTGATAGTTCAAGTCTCAGAGAATTAACATTTTATTACAGAATGTAAGAAGGCATTTCTTCCTAGCCTGTTTGTGAAATGTGTCGATATTCTGAAATGCCTATATATATGATTCAAAGGAATTCTAGTGTGATGTGCCCTCATGGAGTTTTATACATGTATCTTATGATAAGATGACAAATATGGATAGATTAATAAGGAGCATAATTCATCACTCTTGAGAAGTCATTTCTAAGCTAGGCAAATTGTCCCCACCTGTATTTCTGTAAAAACATTAATGTTGGTTTGCTTAGGCAGTATTAGGTTGCGACTCCAAACTAACACTGTAATTAAGATCTTTCTGCCTCAACCTCTTGAACGTGGTTCTTACTTTCCTTAATGTTGTAAACCTTTAATCCAGTCCTCATGTTATGGTGACCTCCACCTATAAAATTTGTTATTCCCTATACATTTATTGTTCCCTATAATTGTAATTTTGTTACTTATATGAATTGTACTGTAAATATCAGATATGCAATTCTGTGAAAGTATTATTGACGCCCCAAAGGGATCATGATACAGGTTGACAACACTGCTTGGAATGTTTTCTTTAGACTTAGAAACCATCCTGCTTCTTCCTCCCAGGTTCAGGGATTAACATTTTACATGATGAGCCCTGCAACTGTGTATGATTTTATCAGGGTTCCTGCCCACACATGGTGCAGAGATTGCAGGACTTCTCCATGCCATGAGGATATCATGTTATTATCCGAATTCTGTCCTGTGATGCATATCTGTACAGGTGTTAACCTTCAACCTGAGCATAGGATCTTATTTGGAAACAGCACTGAACTGAATCCAAAATTCTGTAATCCTCCAGAGGCCAGAATCTCAAAGGATTAAAAAGGCTAAAGTACCCCAAAACTTCAGTCCAGGAATCTTTGTTAAAACCTTGAGAACCTAAATTATCCAACCTAAGAAGGAAAAGAAAGACTGAAGAACAAAGCATAAGAAGTTAGGAATCCTGAGGACTGGGTCCACCACAAGATATGCCCACAGTAAATTTTCAGTGGGAAATGCATGACATGTTGGTATTCATGCCAGCTGAGGAAATTATGTATTTTCATAAACTGAAGCCTCCAGGTTGCCTGCTCAAAGGCCTTATCAGGTACATCAGAGGAAAGTCTTAATTTATCCTCAACATTTTTCCAAGGTATGGGAACTTAGCTCAGCTTCCTCAGGAAAATCACCAACACACACAGCTCCCAGGAACTCAATCAGCCTATGCCTGCTGCCTACAAATCTGCATAGAATATCTCAGTCTAACACTTATTCCATTTTCCTTTCTCCCCTGTAGATTCTGGAGTTTAGTTATGGAAAACACTTACCTTGGTAGTCTATTTGTCCTCATGTGAAGAAGCTAACATCACATGAATCACTGATACTCCCTATGTTTCTAAGATGTGTTTTAAATAGCACTATGAAGACTGTGTTTGGACCATAATAAAACAGGCAAGGGAGGCTCCTCTTAAACACTGTGATGAACAGATTTTCTTTTATTCTGGTTTGCAACTTCATCTATTCAGGTGAGGGTTAATTCTTGATCTGTGAATATTCATGGGAAGGGAAATGGGTGAGAGGGCAGTGAACTTACCATGAAAACCTAAGACTTGGGTTTGAAACTACAACTGGGTAGAAAATAGAGCAAACGATAGACCACTGTGAGGAACCCCTATATAGTTTGGAGTAAGAGACCAGCGAATGTTTGGAGAATCTAGGTTCATATAGACTGGTGTAAAATGTTGCCAATAACAAGTACCTTATTTTTCAAACAAGGCAAAACTCAAAAACTGACAGCTAAGAACTCTAACTGTCCACTTATGCTGTGGAACTAAGGGAAAACACAAATGCTCACAAAAATCACACCCTCTATACACACACACACACACACACACACATACACACACACTAACCACACAAAATATACAAAAGAGGCATTTATGCAACAGTGTCATTTGTTTTTTTAATATTCATCCAGTACAAAGTAGAAGCTGCTTTCTTAGGCATTAGGCATTTGTCAGATCAAACTGTCAAATGACTCTTCTTTTTCACCCTCACTTGGTAATAGAATAGGACAATAGACTGAAGAAATAATTCAGTATTTACTTTCCCAGGAGTCATCAAGGAGAAGGTAAAAATTAGCAGGTATCTTCCTGAGATGGTTCCGAAATGGACTGTAAATCTATGACAGTTTCACTTCTTTTGTAAGGCTGATAAGATCACATTTTAGGAAAGATTCCTCTTATTAATATGCTTTTCCTAGATGGCTCTTTCACTGAAGGCTGTTTTGAAGTTACATGTTACTTCATGTACAGATGAGGCACTGAGTCTGAAGGCCTGCTATCATCTCATGGAGTTCTACAGTTCACTTTACGGCAACTCCTCAGGTGACGGTGGTACGTGGATGACTGACGGAAGCTTTTGTTACACAGGAAGCAGGTGTAGGGCTTATCTCCAGTGTGAATCCTCTCATGAGACCGAAAGTTTGTCTGGTGGCTGAAGGATTTTTTACATTCTTGGCATGTGTAAGGTTTCTTTTCTTCATGGGTGATCTTATGAACTCGGAGGTCTGAGCTAGTATAGAAGCCTTTATGACACTTGGAACAGAAAAATGACCTCACTTTCCTGGGTTTTCTCTTGCGTGCTAAACGCTTAGAGAAATATTTAAAGGTTTGGGGATATTCACCACATGTATATGTATTGCGGTCTCTCTGGAGTCTCTCTTGGTGAACTTTACATGTAGAGTTTACCTCATTACTTCCTAAAAGTTGTAAAGGCACAGGAAGAGGAAGGTCTGGGCTGGTAACAAGCACTTGTACCTTCACTGGGGTATCTTCTGAAGAAGGTGCCCTTAAGGAATATTTTAGGGGCGTGGAGGTGCCTTGAGTTGCTCTTATAAAACCGTCAGTGACTCCATAAGAAACACTGCTGTGTTTAGACTCAGGATACTTCCCTGTCTGGTTTAGGAGAAGAGAGACTTTTTCATTTGCAGGACTGCAAACACCATGACTTACTTCACTAGCATCCCAGAAAGTGTTGTGGTCATCATCACTATTTTTAGTCATGTGTGGCCTAGAGAATAATCCTAGTTTTACCTCCATAAGATCAGTTTGAGAAGTTCTCAGGGACTCTACTGGGTACTGGGAAGTGCCTTCACTTGTCTTTCTGGCACTCTGGGGGATTGAATAAGAAACAGCTCTATCTTTAGGCTCAGAATATTGATCTGTTTGTATAATGAGAAGAGGACCCATGTCATTTCCAGGACTACTAACAACACTATTCCTTTCACTAGCATTCCAGAGATTGTTGCAGCCATCTTCACTGTTCTTATTTCCTGTGAAAATAAGACAGTCTATGAAACTGTACCTCAGAAGGGATTCCCACATAACACCCATCTTCTCACCAGCTTCCAAACTCACCTGTTTCCAAGAACATGTCTTGGGGTCTCTGTAAGTGTATCTTTGGTTTCTTTTGTGTGGGCATTAGTGTTGCTTGCTGTTTCAAATGTTTGATGACTTCTTTTAAGGTCATATACTCAGAAAAGAGAGCTTCCTGCCCCAGCATAGAGACACAGACCTGTAAACAAAGTCAAGTGACCATTGTCAATGAATCTATGGATATCAGAAAACATCTTATCAATCTGATTCACAGGATCACTGGCCATGTGTCTAGCCATCGTATCTACTGGTGTTATCCTGACATTCACAAATTCTGTTATATAAAGTCACTATCCATGCTGTATCTGCAAATACTGTGTCATTCTACAGAGGGAAACAAAAAGTTAATTTCCTATGAACTTTGGCCACAATATTTTCGTCAAATGTTCAAATCATTAAAAGAAGATCAGATGATGTTTGACTAATTTGCAAAGTAGACCAACACTACCTCAGAGTAAAAGACTAGGAAAAAGTCTTCCAAGACAGCAAGATGGGAAAGAACTCTTCATATTTGTCAAAGGAAAATCCACCAAGAGAAAGTCTCAATATTGAACATCTATTCCCCAAATGCAAGGTCACCCAGATTCATATAAGAAACTTTCCTAAAGCTCAAAACACGTGTTGAAAAACCCACAATAATAATGGGAGACTTCCACACCCTACTCTCACCAATAGACAGGTCACTGAAACAGAAACTAAACAGAGACACAGTGAAACTCATCTACAGAACATTTCACCCTAAAACAAAAGAATACTCCTTCTCAGTACCTCATGGTGCCTTCTCCAAAAATGATCATAAAAATGTTCACAAAACAAGCCTCAGGCTGGAGAGATGGCTCAGCAGTTAAGAGCACTGGCTGCTCTTCCAAAGGTCCTGAGTTCAATTCCCAGCAACCACATGGTGGCTCACAACCATCTGTAATGGGATCCAATGCCCTCTTCGGGTGTGTCTGAAGACAGTGACAGTGTATTCATATACACAGAATAAATAAGTCTAAAAAACAAAAGCCAAGTCTCAACAGATTAAAAAAAAGTTGAACTAATTTCATGTATCCTACTAGCTCACCATGGATTAAGGCTAGATTTCAATAACAACAAAAACAACAGAAAACACATATGACCATGGAAAATGAACAACTCTCTCCTCAACAATAACTTGAACAGGAAAGAAATAAAGAAAGAAATTAAATACTTCCTGGAATTCAATAAAAATGATGACACGGGATTCTCAAACTTATGGGACACAATGAAAGTAGTGCTAAGAAGAAAATTCATAGCACTAAGTGCCCTGGTAAGGAAATTGGAGAGACCCTAGGCTTAGCAATTAAAGAGCACACCTGAAAGCCCTAGAACAAACAGAAGCAAACATATTGAAGAGGAGTAGATGGCAGGAAATAGTCAAATGCAGGGCTGAATCAATCGAATAGAAACAAAGAGAACTATACAAAATCTGGTTCTTTGAGAAAATCAACAAGGTAGATAAACCCTTAGCCACACTAACCAAAGGGCACAGAGATAGTATCTAAATTAACAAAATCAGAAATGATTATGGAGACATAAAAACAGAAACTGAGGAAATTCAAATAACTATCAAATTCTACTAAAGCCCATCCTCAACAAAACTAGAATGTCTAGATGAAATGGATGATTTTCTGGAAGATACCAAGAACCAAAGTCAAATCAAGAGCAGGTAAATGTAAAGGGAGTTGCTGATTCCCTAATTGGTTCTTGACTGTGTCAATAAAGTTGGCAGAAGTTAGTTACTGGGTAAAAGGAAAAAGGTGGGACTTCCAGGTCTCAGGAGGAGGAAGAAGGGCAGATGCAGGGAGAAAGGAGGGAGCTGTTCAGACCAGGCTTTGGAAGGAGTAGGGTCCAACAGCCATGTAAGGCCTTAGGGCAATCAGAGCCTGTGGTCCCTGCTACCTGCAGATGGCTGATGTAGGTTAGCTGATAAGTTTAGGGTTTTAGAGGTTTCATTGCCCAGCAACTGTGATATCTGCTAAGGTTTAAAATAATAAAGTGGTCTATTGTTTTTCCGTGGAGCTAAGATGGGCAGGAAAAAGAGGGAAGATGGGGCAGTGGACGGCAGCTTGGCGAAACTAACTGGAAGGAATGGGCAAATTGGAAGTGAGGCCTGTGGCAGCTGATCTTGCAGCTAAACCAAGATAGATCAGAGCTCTAGCTGAGCTCTCCGGAAGGTAGTAGCATGCTTTTTAAAATTACACAGCACAGGTTAACTAAACAGTCCCATATCCCTAAGGAAATAGAAGAAGTCATTAAAAACTTCCCAACCAAAAAAAGCCCAGGGCCACATGAGTTTAGTACAGAAGTCTGCAAGATCTTCAAAGAAGAGATAATGCCAGCAATCTTCAAACTATTCCATAAAATAGAAACTGAAGTAACACTACCTTATTCATTCTATGATGAAGACAGAATTACTCTGATACCTAAACCACACAAAGACCCAACAAAGAAAGAAAACTTCAGACCAATTGCCCTAATGAATATCGATGCAAAACTACTCGTAAAATTCTAGCAAACTGAACTCAAGAACACATCAAAACATTATTCACCACGATCAAGTAAGTTTCATCCCAGGGAGGCAATGTTGGTTCAACATATGAAAATCCATTAAGGTAATCCACTATATAAACAAGCTTAAAGAAAAACCACAGGACCATTTCATTAGATGCAGAAAAATCATTTGACAAAGTATGACATCCCTTCATGTCAAAAGTCTTGGAGAGATAAGAAATTCAAGGCCCATACCTAAACATAACAACAATATACAGCAAACCAACAGCCAATATCAAATTAAATGGAGAGAAACTTGAAGCAATCCTACTAAAATCAGGGACAAGATAAGGCTGCCTATTTTCCCCATATTTATTCAATATAGTACTCAAAGTTCTAGCTAGAACAATAAGACAAGAAAAAAGAGATCAAGGGCATAAAAATAGACAAAGAACAAGTCTACCAGAAGTTATATAGCTTATAAACAACTTCATCAGTGTATCTGGTCATAAAATTTACTCAAAGAAATCAGTAGCATTCTATTATGCAAATGATAAACAAACTGAATGGGGTGGAGGCTGGTTTCCTAAACAGAATTCCAATGACTCAGGCTCTAAAATCAATAATTGAGAAATAAGACCTTATGAAACTGAAAAGCTTCTGTAAGGCAAAACCACATCAATAGGACAAATTAGCAACCTACAGATTGGAAAAAAAAATATCTTTACTAACCCCACATCCAATAGAGGGCTAATATCCAAAATACATAAAGAACTCAAGAAGCTAACCTCCAAACACACACACACACACACACACACACACACACACACACACACACACCAAAACAAAACAATTAAAAATTGGGATATAGAGCTAAACAGAGAATTCTCAACAGAGAAATCTCAAATGGCTGAGAAGCACTTAAAGCGCTTAAAAAAATGTTCAAAGTCCTTAGTCATTAGGGAAATGCGAATCAAAATAACCCTGAGATTCTACTTTACACTAATTAAAATGGCTAAGATCAAAAATACAAATGACAGCACGTATTGGCAAGGATGCAGAGAAAGGGAAAGATCTCTCCATTTTTGGTGGGATTGCAAACTGATACAATTACTCTGGAAATTACTCTGGACGTTACTCAGAAAATTAGAAATAGATCTACCTGAAGACACAGCTATACCACTATGGGCATATACCCACAAGATGTCCCACCATATTACAGGAGCACATATTCCACTATGTTCATAGCAGCCAGAAGCTAAAACAACCCAGATGTCTCTCAACTGAAGAACCGATAAAGAAAATGTGGTTCATTTACACAGTGGAATTTTATTCAGCTATTAAGAGAGAGAACATCATGAGTTTTGCAGGCAAATGTATGAAACTAGAAGATATCTTCATGGGTGAGATAACTTAGACCCAAAAGGACATGCATGGTATGCATTCACTAATAAGTGGATATTAGCCAAAAAGTAGAGTACCTAGGATACAACCAATAATACTCAAGAAGGTTATCAAGAAGAAGGGCCAAGTAAGGATGCTTCAATTCCACTTGAGATGGAGAACAAAACAATCATGGGAAGCAGATGGAGGGAGGGATCTTGATGGGAGAATAGAGGAGGGGAACATGATGAGAAATGGGAGGAGACAGGAAAGAAGCCCTGAGGGCCAGCAGAATGAATGGAAATTCCAACCTTGGAGGTGTGAGTTGGGGGGACCCTCTAGAATGTACCAGAGACCTGGGAGGTAAGAGACCTCCTTAGGAGAAGACTTGCCTAACCCTCAAGAGACTTAAGGCCCAAGGGAGTGAGGAGACCTGGCAGTGGGAGGGGGGAGGGCATCCTCTTGGGGACATCGGGGAGGAGGAATGGGATGAGAAACTGTGGTAGATGGACAACAACTAGACTATAGGAAAAGAAAAGTAATAAAAAAAATCTAATAAAACTAAATTACAGAAAAAAAAATTGACACAGAATCCTGCGAGGTCTTCCATCTCTGGAGTCTCTCTTATCTCTTGAAAGGAGCTGTCTGTTTTAATAAAGTTTATGTTTGTAGCAAAAAAAAAAAAGGCTGTATTGCTGGTATTTTTCAATTTTCCTTTATTTGTATTTCATTGTTATCACTCCTTCACCTGTCCCCAGGATCTACAGTCATTAGTTTGGGCCCAGAACTCTTGACCTCTCTACATTCTTTCACTATGGTGGCTCCTAATCTATTGGAATTTCATACTTTAGGACCCAGCCCCTTATCAATAATTCGTATTTTGGGTCTGGAATCCTCATGATCTCTACTTTAATTCTGCAGTAGTTGCTGTATTGATATTCTCGCTTCTGATCGGCAATTGTTACTTTTTGTCTTGTTCCCCACGATGTTTGCTATTTTTACTCTCAGGTAGATGTCTCGTAGGTAGACATCCCCTATGTCCAGCCGTTAGTCATCAGTTGCCCCTCCCTAACTGAATTTTCTCTTTGCTGGTTGAATGGGCTTTATAACTAACACCTATATAATTCTTTGTCCATGTCACTGAATACTAGCCTAGACAACCACCCTTAGCTAAAGATGACTTTTACATCATAGCTTTAATTTCAAGGGCTGCACAGAAAGCTTGTCACTTCATTGAGTGATTGATGCAACTCACACTCGACAGAAACTGAAACAAATCCAACAAAAACATTTGTCTCCACAAGACGCACACTGTGCATCTCTGCTCTTAGGAACATGACTGGACTTCGGTTTCAATCACAAAATTTTTAACTTACAGTTCAAAGGAGTGAAAATGTAGAGGAAAATAAACTGAAATAACAGCTTATTTATAGACTTAAAAATTCAAATACACAGAAGGAGACGGTGATCAACACATTTAATTCAGCACCTGGAAAAGAGAGAAAGTATAAATTCCTTGAGTTCCTATCTAGCCCCTGCTACACAATTGAAATGAAGTCACAAATGAAAAAAAAATACAAGCAAGCAGAAACCCCAGCTAATCAACCATACAAACAAACCAACCAAAATGTAAATTAAAAATCTAAAGAACTGGCTGGGCGGAGGTGGCACACGCCTTTAATCCCAGCTCTTGGGAGGCAGAGGCAGGCAGATTTCTGAGTTCGTTCGAGGCCAGCCTGGTCTACAGAGTGAGTTCCAGGACAGTCAGAACTACACAGAGAAACCCTGTCTCGAAAAACCAAAAGAAAGAAAAAAAGAAAAGAAAAAAAATCTAAAGAACTAATAAGCTATTTTTATAGTGATGTACAAAATTGTCTGTCAATGACTGAGAATTATGCAAATCTAGATAGACATTGAAAGAAGATACAATGTAATTACTTCTGTATTAAATCTTTCCAGCTTAAAAGATACGCATTGAGCCTCAGTATTGATCAAGGGATTTTTTTTGTGAGTGCATCAGTGTTAAACATAAATGTGTGACCCATATTTCAACATCAAAAACATACTCTATCATTCTGTCACATCACTTTTCAAAGAAGAGTATTCTACCATAATGTTGTAAACTATTCAGAAAGCCATGTAGCCACTTTAATCCCCAGATTCACCCTTTCAGGTCCTGGGATCATAGGCTAATGCCGTTAGGTGTATATTCAGATCTGTCTCTAGGTTCCAACTCAGTCCTCATGATTATAATGTAAGTACCTCCATGACTCAGTCATATCCCAGACTCAAGACATTTCTTCAAAACTCTTATCCAATTGTCAACTCCCAGTCTCTCTATCATCATGTTAATAAACTAAATTTAAGTATATTCAAACAACTGATGATCTACTTTCTCCTTTATTTATACTACTTCAGGGCAGTGCAAATTTTCCCTTGTAAGGCTTTTGGTGGAGTGAGTACAATCCCACTAATAAGAAAAACTACCAGACATTCCTACTTTTTTCCAAATCCAAATGACTACCTTTCCTCCCAACCTAGCCATCTCTTATCCCAGGTACTCACCATGGTAGGAGGCTTCAAGCACTCATCAGTCAGCCCCTCCATGAATCTCCCCATGTTTCTGCCACTTGATTCCCAGTGCTCTTTCAAAGCAAACTTGTCTTTGCAGTGCCCAGTGAGGAGAAACTGCTCTAAGACCAGTTGAGAAATCATCTGCTCCTTGCTCTGCTTTTCAGGCTGCAACCAAGAGGTAAACATCTCCCAGAGTATTTGCAGCTCCTGCTTTGCCAAGGAGCCATTGCCATTTGGTGGAAAGTTGAGTTGAGCACTTGATGAGGTATAGATGTCTTCTTCAAACTGCACAGCAGAATGCTGGTTTGGAATAAACTCTTGATTGTCTAATTGAAGTGCATTTGTTAGCGATTTAGGATTAAAAGTTTCTCTGACCCGTGAAGACATTGTGGAAAGCACCTCAAGAAAGCTTCCACTATAGCAACTTAGAATCTGTCTTGTGCTTTAGGATCTGTTTCAATCGTTGGTAATGTGGAAAACTATAAATTCAAAAAGAAGAGACACATAATAAAAGTGAAAAATCAGTTAAAATTTCTGTCACAGAGAGTTTCATGGTACCTGACAGAAAATAATTCATACTAGTAATACAAAAATGTGGTTCATCATTTTGTCAAGTCCAAGTGATTACTACAATCAGGACAGCTCCAGAGAAGAGACCTACAGATGTTCCAATCTTCTCTCAAAGACACAGATGCTTCTACTGGATTTGTTCCTTCTGATATATCCACAGACAGTTCCACAGACCCTGGACAGCAAGAAAACAGCCAATTCTCCTAAGACTGGACAAACATTCCCATATCCACTCTTCTAGATTTCCTAGAAACATGTTGCCTCAATGCCAGCATGAAGTAGTCAGGTATCACAACAACCCTATTCCTGCTTCACCATCACCTCTTTCTAATTTTTTTTTAATTAAGCCAAAATGTGGGAATGTGTTCTGTCTAAACTCCACCCCAGTTATCTGGTAACAGCCAGGTAAGCTCTGCCCCACAGTTACTTGGCAACAGCCAGGTAGGCCAGACCCACTATAAAAGGGGCTGCTTGCTCCCTCTTGGCTCTTTTACTCCTCTCCTGCTTGTTCTTTTGTTCTTTCTCTGCTTCCCTTCCCCCTTCTCACCCCACCCCCCCTTTCTCTCCATGTGCTCATGGCCAGCCTCTACTCATCTACTTCTCCTCTCTCTCTCTCTCTCTCTCTCTCTCTCTCTCTCTCTCTCTCTCTCCCTTTCTCTGTCTCTACTACCCTCTTAATTCCCCTTCCCATGTCTTGAATAAACTCTATTCTATACTATACCATTGTGTGGCTGGTCCCTCAGGGGGCAGGGAAGCCTCAGAATGGGCTGGCCACACACCCCCTACCCTTATATCTGACCACACCTCCATAGAACAAATCCCCTCGTCTCTTTTTAAAAACACATCAAAGTAGATTCTTCATAATAAGGAATAAATTGATCTTTCAAAAATGCACTAAGAAGGGGCTTGGAACAAATGAATGTGATCAAGGAAACTCAGGTCCAAGGAGGAGACTACAGCTATGCACTGTGATAAAGCAAGGCCATGTGAAACTATTGCTTTGAACTTACTATTGGCATCCTGTATCTCTCCTTTTGTTTAATATTTTATCTATGAGGTAGTGTTTTAAAATACTTCTAAGTAGGTATAAATTGCCAGAGGCAAGAAACAAAGGGTGGATTTGTGGGGTCTGCCCCATCCACCAAATGTATATATGTATATCTCTATGTATGTATATAAATATGTGTGTGGATATGTGTGTATGTATGTAAGTATGCATGAACACCTGTGGAATTAATGAAACAGATGGTCAAGCAAGAAAGAAAGAAGAGAGAGAGAGAGAGAGAGAGAGAATACCTACGTTTCTGTGTGTCTGTGTGTGTCTTTGTGTATCTCTGTGTATGCTTGATTTTCTCCCCTTCTTCCTTTTCTTTTCTCTCTGGCTCATGAAGAATTAGTAAACTCTTGAGAGTCCAGTCTGGCCAGCAGTGGCCCTTGAGATAGAGAAAAAGAGCATAAGTAACTAAACCTTTGTCTTAATTCTTTGCTGCTATTAGCAGGAGCCAAATTGCCAGAAACCACCAGCTTTTAGATACAGAATAACAGACTTCAAGAGGGTAGAAACTGTCAAAAGTAAGTAGCTTTAGACCACACAATGGCTGACCAGAATTGCCAAAGGCAAAACAACTTCAGCCACAATTATTGACTCCACACCCCATTTTTTGCTGTTAGCCTAGAGTTACCTAGCCTACCCCTAGCAATGAGATCAAACAATAGCCTGCTCACATAGCTAAAAATGTCTCAACTAATAGCTGATGGTTTGGACATAGATTAAAATTTTATTTGGTGTACAGACTTCAGAATTCTGGCCAGGAAAAATGATTAAACAAGTTAATAAAAACAAAAGAAAATAAATAACAAAGGAGAAAATTAACAAAATTTTCATTAGAGATCAGAAAATGGTGGATAGGCTTTCTTCTTTATTTTGTGTTAGTCTTCAGCTATACCAGTCCTGGACATATACCCAAAATATATTCCAACACATCACAAAGATACTGCATTCATAGCTACTTTGTTTGGAAGAGTCAGAAATTGGAAACAACCTAGATGACCCTAAACTGAAGAAAATGTGGTACATCTACAAAATGGAAGGACAGGAGAAATGGCAAAATGTCCATGAAAATGAATGGAAATCTGCAAGTGACAGTGGTGAGGAGGTGGGGGGTATCTGCAGGATGAGACAGGAACCTGGGATAAGGGGGCACACAAGAATTAATGGGGGTGACCTTAGTGGTGACTCACTACACTGTAGATATGGAGCCTGAAGAGGCTACTTCCTGTAGCCAGGCAGGAACCCCAGTGGTGCAATAGAGACTCCAACCAACCTACAAAACTTTCAATCAAAAATGTATCCTATCTATAAAAAATGCAAGCACAAGGAATGGAACAGAGACTGAGGGAATGGTCAACCAATAATCAGCCTAACTTGCATGTATAAGTAAATCCCTAACACAATGATATTCTGTGGTGGATAGGCCTGGTGCTGTTTGTATTTTGATGTACATTCTGCTCTCCTGGGAGGGGCTGCAGACAAGGAGTGAGTAATGAACTCAGGTGACTTGTGAAGCTTTCCCTAATGAATAAAGGAGCCAATCACTGGGAGAGAAGGAGGGACTTCCTGGTTGGATAGGGGATAAGAGGAAGCAGGAGGGAGGTAACACCTTTTAGATCAGGGATAGTGTAAGGGCAAGATGTAGCTGCTATTGTCTCCTGGTTTTATGGGAGATCTGCCAGGATTCACCACCAGAGGAATTAGATTTATATGGTTTACAAGATTAGGATTCTCGTTGAGTCCAGAGATTGAGTTACCATTGTTTCTAAACTAAGTTTGTATGTCGTTTTTCTTCTTGCATCAACTCAACTGGATCCCAGAGAGGATCCCACAAAAGTCATGAGGGATTTGAAGCATGGGGCTGGCATGGTAGCAACCTGCCAGTGGGAACTTAGTGAACTGGGTGGAGAGATTTTGGAGTTATGGTGCCATCTAGTGCTGGGCATAGTGTGGGAACCATATTTCCCACAATACTCATGTTGTGCTCTTAGAGTCTCTACCCAGTAGCTAATTCAGACAGATACTGATACCAACAGTCAGTTGACGGTGCTTGGGGACTCTTATAGAAGATTAGGAGGAAGGACTATGGGCCCAGAGGAGATAGGAACTCCATAGAAAGACAAACAGAGTCAATTAACCTGAACCCTTGGGGCTCTTAGAGTTTAAACCACCAACCAAAGAACATGTAAGGGCTGGACTTAGGCCTCCGTGAGCATATGTTGCAGATGTGCAGCTTGGCCTTCATGTGGGTCTCAAACACATGGAGTGGGGCTATCCTATAAGCCATTGCCTGTACTTGGGATATGTTCTTCTAACTGGGCTACCTTGTGTGGCCTCAAAGCGAGAAGCCTTGAAGTGCCAGGGTGGGAGGATACCTGAGGGCGGGGCACTCACTCAGAAGAAATGGAAGGGGAAAAGGGAAAGGATTATGGGAGGGGCTGAATGGAAGAGAGACCGTGTGTAGGATATAAAGTAGGTAAGTAAAAAAAAAAAAAAAAAAAGGAAGAAAACTAAACAAAACCAAAAGCAATAACAAAGGAAGAGACTACTAACAAAATTTTCATTAGAGATAAAAAAAACATGGGTTGATTTGCTCCTTTGCTTTAGTCCTCTGCACCTCATATTGGAAGGGATTTACCTCACTATGGACTATGGATACATTGAAATTCAGGTTTGAGTAGGCTCCAGGTCCTTCCACTCCATCCCCTTCTACCTCCTCATGAGACAAGTTTTGCACCATGGGTATGAATACAAGATCATGGTACAACCCCCGATACACTCAGGCTTGTAGTGGAAACTAAAGAAGACAGACACAGGGAAGATATTGTCTGATGTGGCCATACTTCATTCCTACCTTTACTTACGGAAGCCCAAGCCCACTTTAAATGTGTGGTTATATGTGGGGAAAAAAAGGCAATTTATCTTTGCAGACAGAAATACAGGGCTTATAATTTTGTGTATGCCCTGCAGACGGTTCCCCTAGTTGCTAGGAACAAGGTAGTTTCCATTGCAAAAATAGGGATTTTGGCAGTGAGGCTTCCTGAAGATTTTCTTTAAAAAGATTCTGGCCTTTAGGGAACAGAAAAAAAAAAAACCTGGAAAATTATAGCCCTTGCCTCAAGAAGTGATCTTGGAGATAGAATTAATCATCACATCTAAAACTCATCCAAAAGGCATCCAGGACTACTGGTTATGCCCACACTCCTCCTGGCCCCATACTACATGGAGAAAGAAGCGAACAAGCCTGTCAGCCCATTGACTGACAAAACTCACTGTGACAGCCCAAATTAGCATTACAGGACTGGCAAGAAGCTTAAACTTGTGTAATATTCAAAATCTGTGACCTTCCAATATTAATAATTTGCCCTTATTTTGATGCACGCTATTCTGCCTTAAGGGTTAATTCATCTGGATAACAGCAATATTACTGAGCCCCTGAGACTGCTTATATATCACTGGTATATATCAGTGATTTGACTAAATATGCCTCTTTTGATTCTTTTCAAACTAAACAGATAGGTTGATCAGGATCTGGAAAGATTAAAACATTCCATTTCTGAATTAAAACAACAGTTAGATTCCCTTGCAGAAATGGTTCTACAAGATTGGAGAGGCTTAGACATCTTATGAGATAAAGTAAAATAAATCTGGCTTTAGGTTTATGCTAATTGGTTAATAATTAGAGACGATGTTTCCACTGTCAGGAAAAAAGTTAACTAAAACAGAGAAAAAAGACATAAATCAGATCATTGATACCATTCTTTGT